GGCTCGGAACCAGTTCAGTTTCCTTAATATTTTAAGTGGTACAGTGTTCTCCAAAGTTGAAGACTAAAGATAATTTTTATCCTTAACTTTGAGGGATCTATCATTAGTTTAAAATGTTGGGGGACCAAATAGGCTCCACCCCCTTAGAGTTGGCATCAATGCAATACATATCTTTCCATCATGTTGAACATTTATAACTTCTTTCTCAACATTCAAAACATGAACAATCTATGTTTACAAAATATTTTAAACGGCAATTTACAATATAATCTTTTAAATATCATATCTTAAAGATGCAAAATGTACTCCTTTTCTTCTTAATACATTTAGATCGATATGATATTTTCAGATAAGGAGATATGTTCCAGATAAGACTCATCTTGTTACCTCGACTCTGTACAATGTTGTGCTTTTTAATGTAATTTGAAGACTTAAAATATTTAATATTATAAATTAAATTATCTGAATAATACAAAATATTATAAACAAAGAATCTTTAACTATTTAATAGACTATATATAATAATACATTTAAATATCTTGTAATTGTTGTATATTAATGAAGTATCTTAAAGACGAGATACGTGAGAAGTCGCTTGAAACCGATTAAAGTTTTATTTCCGAGACAAACTAATAAAAAATTAATAATATAAATTATATTTATATTTTAAATAATTTTAAACTTTTATACATTTGAGTCGGATTTATTTGATATAGAAGTAATGCTTTACGGTCTTTGAACAGAAAGAAATCTTTGTATATAAACAAAAATATTTTATCAATTTTTTTCCCTTTATAAATAATAATAACAGCACCAAAATCCCGTTACATAACAGAGATTTCATCAAAATCCTCCACGGGATTTCTAGGTAATGATAATAATACAAGAGGAAAAAAGTTCAGGTTATTATCATAAAATCTAATGGCATTGTATAATTTAAAAACATCTTATAAATATTCAAAAGTAAATTCTACGAAGGTTTTCTACTCAAGAGATGCTCAAAATAAAAGATGAGAGAGAGAGAGCGAAATGTAAAAATTGATAATTCCCTTTTAAATTATTTATTTAAATTTCTAATAACCATAATCATCAAAAATGTACAAGAAACGGATGAAAATAAGGAAAAAAAACTTTGAATTAATGGATAAAAAATAATGCATTGTTCATTTAAAAAAAAACAATGTAATAGTTATAGTTTTTCTTTCACTTCTAAATAAATCCAAAACAATAAAATTGAAAGAGGCTCATAAATTAGATGTAGGAAGTTCATTTTTTCTTGTTTGTTGTTTCCACTAAAGTACTTTTGTTATTCAAACAGTTTTTCTCTGCAATGAATTATCCTTCGCCACCGAAAACGTGCTTAGGTTATACAAAATAATTAGTTCAACGCTTGTGGGCATAAATTAAGTTAAGCTTAGCGCCATTAAAGTGAAAAATCTGTGAGAAAGAATGCAACGTACGTAATACTGATGCTTGGATGAAATCCATCTTGGAATAATGTTCAACAATTGCTTCTGCACAATACTTGAGCGCGTTTAAAATGTAATAACAATATATATAATTTTGTTTCTTATCATCGAAAGATCCATTAATATGATAAAAATAACGATTTTAGTTTTGGAAAATTCACTTTTTTTTCTTGCACAGAGTTTCTTTATGGCTATACAATAACTGTTATTTACGGTTAGTGCAACGGTAGAGCTACTATTTAGCGATAATGAAACCTTCCTTATTTAACCTTAATGACATCTATCCTAGCAGTTGCAGCCTTTTAAACTGGTGATTATTTTCTCCAGCATCATATTGTTCCAAGGTAAAAGCATCATCTAAACTCGATAATATAATAATTTAAAAGTTTATTATTGGATATTTTTTATATATAAGTAAATAAAAAATTTAGTATTTTTTTCACTTGAATAATTCATTAGTCTATCCATCAAGTTAGAAGTTGCTAAGCCATAAGCACTGCTGATGTACTGTATAAGGCTGACAGCACTATTAATGGATATAGTCATTCCTATCTTAAATTTATTGCTGTAAGTACTTTTCATAAGTGTCCTTGAAAAATGTTTTCAAATTAAGATTTTGAATAAATGAATTTCCAATTAGGGATAATTACATTTGCTGAAAATGTCATTTGTCTAGAAATATGCATGCAATTTCACAGTTGTCAGCCAATGTGATGAGTGAGTTTAGTAAAGACGTGTCAAACACTTCAAAAGGCAATTTTAATCTCTTTTTCTTCAAATATCCTTTCAAAAATATTTTATAAAATATTAAAGTCACTCTTTCTTTCATTTTTATAGGAAAAAAACTTAACAAATTTAATTCGTTATACTTTCAAAATGTGGAATAAAGTCTTGAGTTTAATTATCTCGAAACAAGGATTATAGAACTTTTTTTAAGAAAAAGGAAGAAAAAGAAAAAGTATATGTTGAAAGAAGAATATTTTCTATTGAATATAAATTGCATAACAAAATTATCTAATCTATAAAGGCTAATTCTATTTGATGAAAGAAATTCATTTTATTGATTAAAATTTTGCAAAAAGGTAATCTACATCAAAGGTATTTTTTAATATTTTATATACTAGCTAGATTTATAAAAATTTCACTATCGTTTTTATTACTGTAATTAAAGAATAGTAACTTTACAACTTTAATTTATGTTATAAATTAATATCATGTAGCATCACTTAATGATAGAAGTCCGCATATCTGTCCTAAAAAACAATACTGGATGAGTGATATTAATGCTAGAAAAAATACTACTAGCTTAGGAAAAATCGTTAAAATTTTGCTATAAATAATTAAAATACTTTTTAAATCGTCTTTTATTGCATATTGCACTTTCGTATTTGCATAATATTTATTTATTTTAAGCTGATCAGAACAGATACTTAAAGCCATCCAAGGTTAGGGCCTAGAAGCAATATAATATTTTATAAAAATTTAGATGTGTTTACTTATAATATTAATAAAATTATCTGAATATTAATAAATATTTTATATAATTCTTACAATTACGAATAATTATGTATTCGTTATGGAAGTTTACTGTTTAATTTTTATTGTTATATACTGTTGCATAAAGTTTATTTAATACAAATTTTTAAATAATATATGATCTCTGTATTTATATATAATTTAAGTATTGCATTTCTTAATATACGTGCCAGTTTCTGTAATATAAATTTATATTTCTGTTGTTATTTTTACATTAAAAAATTGAATAGATGGAGAAGCGAAATGGAAAAGCGTTATTATAAATTACGAATAATCGAAAGTCCCTTTTCAATATAATTTAATCTTTCTAAAAATGTAGAAATAACTAGAATAGGTAGAATCATTAGGAAATATCTAAAATATCACTTTCCTCTCTGCGGATAATTTGTCATTGATGCTAAAAATATTCTTAAAATTCTTGGATAATAATCTCTTTTCCTGTTTCTTTTAGTGTAAATTGGCACAGTAGTTAGTTTGAAACAAATTCTTTTAAATTATATTTATAAAATTTACAAACTATATGGCAAATAATAATAAAAAGAAATTTTAAAATGGAAAAAAACCAAAAAATTGCAAGAAAAATTAACTTAAAAACCCCCAAAAAAAACAAGAAGGAAGAAAAAAAAACAAATGCTCACATATAAATTTACTAATATATAAAAATCTGTTAATTATACCATAAATCATCGAAAAGAGTTCTGCTAAAACGAATACGAATAAAAAAACTTAAAAAAGATTTTGACGTTACCTCATAAAATTTAGATTTTCTCATCCTGATTGGAATCTCTCCAAAAGAAAACATGAATTAAATTTATTATATTTGAAATTGGACAGTTTTATTTACAACTGATTAATGTTACCTTGGAATAAGAGTCACATTAACTGTAGACCTTTTTTATTTTTCAAAAATTTTGTATGTCTGACCCACTTTCTCTTTTGTGAATCAGTGGCATATAATAAAAGACAAACATTTACGAAAAAGTAATGGACATATTATTCCTACTGCGTTTTCTTGTCTCCATTGAAACTACTTATCAATATCATCAAGTTTGCAAATTACAGCCGCAAATGCAAGTACACATTATGGCAATATTCCAAGATAAATAGTCTCCAAATTTGAAAGATAATAGTTAATAACAGAATAAATTTTTAAATTGTAAGATAAAAGAGTTAATATTTTTTATCAATTTTTTTATACATCAAAAAATCAATTTTTTAAAAAATTTCCTTAAATATACTAAATAAATTTTCCTGTAATAAAAAGTATATATATTTTAATATTTGACATTAAAAATTTATTATTTAAAATGAAACTTTTATAATATATCTTTTGAAACTATCCAAACAACGTATCAATAGGTCTTAAACATATTTTGTTCTGTAATTAATTTTGCTTTGTTTTAAATCTACCTAGATTAGAATTATAAAAGACTTAGATACATTAATGCTAATACATGCAAATATTTGTAGAATATCGCTAAATTCCCGTGCAAGATTAATTTGTATACTTAAACTCTTAACATTTAAGAGAAATACAATAACTCTCATCAAACTAAAATTTAAGTATCGTAAAAATTTTTCTATAATTTCCTAGTTATGGACATTAGATCTCTTTCTTTAACAGTTTTTTAAATATTCAAACAAATTTTGAATTTAATATCTAGAAGCTTGTTTACGAAAACTTTACCATAAATCTCTTTAAGTTTGCTATCGTGATTAATTAGGGCGATCAAAATTTTAAATAGGTATTAAATTAAAATTTTTAATAAACAATTTAAATTAATACGTTTTAAACGTACAACAAAACATTTAATATTTAACTGAAATGATTATAAATGTAAGAATTTTTACTCAAGTATCCCCTTTAAAAGTATCTTTCCTGCATATCTCTTCATTTTATGCCATTACCGGAAGTAATTATTTCATAACAAGCACATCCCGATGCATTTCCTGTCCTAGAGGAAGTACTCAACAAACGGAAGGAAATAAACTCACCATATTTCCAGATAATAGAACTGTACGGATAACCGCCGAATGGGCAACTGATGATAAAAGTCTTTCCAGATAAAACTGTAAAGTTACTTAAGGGTCTCACAAATAGTGGTCCATACACATTTAATCTCTGAGAGTGGCTTTTCTGTCCTGCGTAATTTGTAGCAGTGCAGGTATAAACTCCACTGTCACCCACATCAGCTGATGTGAGATTTACGTAGCTAATGACATCGCCTTCTGTGGTAGCATATGTATTTACCACCGTTCCTGCTCTACTAGAAATGGGCCATATTCCGTCCAGAATCCAAGTTATCTGTGGAAGAGGGTTGCCTACAGCAACACATTTCAGCGATACAAAAGAACGAGGATGCACCGTCTGTTCTTGATAAACATATCGAAACTCTGGTACCAGATCTATACGTAATAAAATTTTATTTTAAAAAATCCGATTAATTCTACAAGAAAAAGTAGTTTTTAATACTTTATTTTTATAAGAAGATTTTAATTTTTATCAGTATTTAATCTTTAATGCAGCATTAAAACAAATAACATAATTTAATGCAGCATTAAATTATGTTATTTGTTTTTAAAGCATATATATTTTAAACATTTCAACGTTAAAACTTTATATATATTGCAGGCAAATAAATATTCGATTGAATATATATATCGTTGAAAGCAATAAAACAGAAATATAATATTATTTTCGAGATTTTCAAACCTTCTGAAATATTGAATTTTCAATTCTACCTCCAATAACAACAGAAGCAGATGCTTGAACTGAATTCGTTTCTCCATACACAAAGCATTGATATATTCCAGCATCCTGACGCTTCACTTGGCTGATTTCTAAAAGTGTTGGAGAAAGAAACTTCAGTCGACGACTAGTTGGAAGGAAGTTCATGTCTTTTCTCCATACGACTGAGCCGACAGGACGTCCTGTGATAGAACAGTTCAAAGTTACAGTTTTTCCGACATCCACTCTTTGATGGTCTGGTATAAGGCTGACAATCAGAGGCTCTGTAAGGCAAAAAATTTTAACTTTATTATCTTCTTTTTTTAAATTAAAAAACGTATATTTTATCCAGAATAGTTCGAATATATTTTATAAATTCGAATGAACGAATGTATAAGTAAATAGATACGATTTCGTATACTTCAAGTAAAAAAGTAATGTTAAATTTTAACAATTTATTTATATCTATATAATATATTTAATAATAAATATGTTTAATGTATAAAGTTGCAATTACGACCTTCAACAAAAAGTTCAATTTCCGTTCGATCTTCTCCCACGCTATTGCTGACAACACAAACATATTTTCCACTGTCCTCTGGCATAACTCTTTGGATGAGCAATACACCATCCTCCTGTCTAATCCTTTGATTGATTTCTGCAGGAGTAAGTCCCCCTTGTTCCTTATACCAACGATAAGTAGGAAGTGGATACCCTTGGGCAATACACACCAAAATGGCTTGGGACTGCCGAACAGGTACAGTTAGTTTAGTGCTTCGAGAAATAATCCTGGGCAGCTGGCTGTGATGGGGTTCTGTAACACGAAACAAAAGTTATTGTAACATTAGATATCTTCTCTTGAAATATTACATAGTTTCTTTCTCTCTTAGGAGAAACATTACGTGTTTCTAGATTCGCAATAACGTTATTGAACTATAGCGAGACAAAAGTTTAATATAAGACATTGGATCTAGAAATTTTAAGGTTGATTTACCTGTAACTATGACTTTTGAATATTTTATACTGCTCTTTTTTTCTCCTGTGAGAATATTCTCTGTATGACATCTAAAACTGTAGGAACTATCTCTGTTGTCCACTTTTTTTATATATAAATCTCCCTTATTAAATATTCCGTATCGACCTTTAATTTATCAAAAAATATATCAAATTATACCGTATATTTTATATTTAATAAATTTTAAATTATTTTTAATAATAAAAAATAAAGCAAAAATTTTTTATTTTCTAACATCTTCGGCTATCTATGCAGCCATCATCAGGAACGAACATGTAAAGGAATCATTTTTAAAAATTATATATTCAACAGTATTTCAAATATGAATCAGTGACGAACAATTGCAATAACATAAATAAACTATACAAAAATATATAATACATAATAATATACCATTAAAAAATATAAACAATAATAATAAACCCTGGATTCGTTAATTATATAACAAAAATTATTGTATATTTTTCCTCGTAGTTTTATGATATATTATTATGTAGGCCTATTATATATTTTTGTATAATTTATTATTATTATTATTTATTTATGTTATTGCAATTGTACGTCACTGATCCATATTTGGAACATTGTTAAATTTAAATTTTAAAATTTTTGCATATTTAACATTTTTTAAATACCCAAAAATTATTTTAAACATTCATTTAACACAGTACTAATTTATTATTTGATTTAGTAATTTTTAAAAAAGAAAAGATATTTAGAAATTATTTTTCAATTTAAAAAAATAAGAAAATATTTTATAACAGTTTTAGTCTATAGTATAAGTGCATCCCGCAAGTCGGCAGTAATGCTTTTCTTATGAGACTATTGGACTAATCTGGATACATTCTCCGATATATAAGTTGACATAGTGGCACAAGTGAAGGATGTAAATGGTGATTGTTAGATTCTATCTCTACAAAACCATTACCGTCTCCTGTCGTGGGAGTTATAAAGAAACTGTCATTCCTTTCCCAATGGGATACACGAACATAATCGCTGACAAAACTAGGGATAGGACACCTGAGCACTGCCATGTTGCCTCTAAGAACAAATTCGTCGAAGGATCTGATCTCATAATTCTGCAAGATTACTAGAAAAATCAGAAAAAAATATACATCAATCGATAAATAATTTAATAATTAACTCTAGAAACAAATATACATAGAAATAAAATAAAAAATAGTTGTAATGTAGCATACGTGTAAGCATTAAATATTAAATTTAACACCAATAAATAAATATTTTATATATCGTAAATAATATTTTTAAGAATTTTTAAGTTAAAATTTATTCTCTTAAAAAATAAATATAGGCTATATATATACTTTTTAATGATATATTACTTCAATTATCTAGTTGTTATTCACTTTGTAAAAAAATGATTAAAGATTTGAAAAAATATATAATCATTTTTTTATGCATCCGTGTTTATCTTAAGGATAACAAATAGCGTGTTTTCGTATATGAAAAGAGATTATTGAATGCAAAATTTACTGTATAGAATAAAAATAGAAGCAATTATCAACATGAAAGGGACGATAATACAAAGACACGTGTAAATAATTAAAAACTGATTAATTCAATGAATAGGAAGGAAAAATTACACGGTAGGAAAACATTGAAACGGTGTCTAATATTAGAGAGAGGGACTATATTGGATAGAGAAAGAAAGAAAAAAATAATTTAGAAAAGAATGACAAGGATAATGATTATACAACAAGAGAAAAGAGAAAGAACTGGATAGAAATGAGAATAACTCGATTATAGAACAAGCGAAAACAGTGCAATTTTAGGTTGAGTAGTCCTATTAGATTAACGTATCCAACACATCCAAGTTGGTTTTACAGAAAAAGAGATCAATTTGTTATTTTTTAAAAAAGATCACGTTCGAAAAGAATATTTTTCTAGGCAAAAAGGCGTAGAACAATGAAAAATTCAAGTTATTAATTCCTAAAATAAAACCGCAATTTATTTATTTATTTTTTTTATTGAAAAATTGGATATACTTTTTTCTTTCAACACAAAAAAGATATATATATATATATACATATAATGAGGATCAAAAAAATAAAAATAAAAAAAATAGAAAAGGAAGGTTAATAATAAGAAAATAAAAGAAATGTTAGAAGAAAAATTTAATTGATAAAAAAATGGTAAAATTTTCGAAGAGATTATCTATGGAATTGTTATTATCCTTCGAAAGTTGACAGATAATTAAAGAAGACAAGAGAAATTTTTATCTTTTTAAGACTTCTTATAAATTATTTATTAATAAAATACACACTGAATAAAAAAAGTGTGCAACTGATAAATTTAATAACATTTAAAAATTAACAATAAATAGTTTAAATGGAAATTATAACATTGTTCAGATGGTTTCAACAAAAATGCAACTCATGCGAAAGTTTAATACATAGTTTATTAATTGGAATACATTATACAATTTAATTAATACATTATAGGAAATTAAGTGTATTTTAATTATTTTTCTAATCGTTTCTCGTGTCAAAGGTTCTCATTTAAAGAGAATGAAAGACTGGCAAATCAATTGCTATCATTTATTCACAAAGTTCATAACTTGCATTATCGCAAATAATTTATATAATATAATTTTTGGAAATGTTTATAAAAGTAGTAAAAGGTGAAAGTTTATAGATATAAAATTTTTTATGCTTTTCTTAAACGAGTCATTTTATAATATGTGTATAAATCCGGATGTATACCAGTAATACGATAAGGAAATAATTAAGAAAAAAAAGATCCTTATTTTCCCCTCATGATTCGATACAGTGTTATCTTCTCGACTTAAACAGTAATAAAACTCTTTTTATTATTACTTTAATATACATTTACTAGCTATAATAACGTTTTGCATTGGAAAAGATGGTTGAGTTACAGCCAAATCTAACGTGGGAATCATATAGAATTCCTATATAAACATTTATTACTACTTTAACTAATAATGATACAGAATGGATCGTAATAAAAAGAAGAATTTTTTAGACTCTTCAACGTCGAGTAAAATATTTGAAATTATCGAAAATAAAAGTAAATTACAAATGATCGTAAAAATTATAGATGAGAAGAAGTCATAAATGATAAAATAAAGAAAGATTTATAACCGGTGCCATCATATTAAGATATAAAATATTTACAGTCTTATATACGTGAGAAAAGTAATCAGGTAGCTCACATAATAAATTTGTTGAAGAAACACTTTGACAGGCTAATCTCATAGATAAATAAGTGGTTTAATACAAATACACATCGCAATATTAGAAAATAAAAACATAATAGAGCTCAGTTTGTTGTTATAACTGAAGCAAATGATGCAATATCTATAAGACTTTGTTGTATCCATCACTATATTCTAACATAAAAAATAACTCTAATAAATCAAATTATATGGCAAAATATAGAGCTCAAATTCGATATATATCATATAATAAGTCAGAAGAAGGAAGGGTCAGTATAGAACTATCAATAACTTTTTCTACCGAGTGTCATGGACCGAACGAACATATTGAAGCGCTTTTTTTTCATCGCATATTCATGTAAATTAACCTTATGTGAGTATTTAAATGGTTATTTGAAGAATTTTTTGAAGTTATTTATTATCTCTATAAAATTTATAAGTTTAAAATCGAACATTGCCCTATCAGTCATTTTTAGTCATCAGTCAACTTTTCAGATTCAACAAAATTTATTGTATCTTTCAAGGAGTATAATTTTTTATTTTATGCCTTTTACTTGTGTAGTTATTTTTTAAAATTTTCTTTCCATCTATTTTTAAAAAATTCATATGATTAAATAGAAAATTTATTCATTTAAACGGCAAAAATTATTTATCGATGTTTATATAACAATTTAATCCGTGTTTATCTTAAGGATAACAAATAGCGTGTTTTCGTATATGAAAAGAGATTATTGAATGCAAAATTTACTGTATAGAATAAAAATAGAAGCAATTATCAACATGAAAGGGACGATAATACAAAGACACGTGTAAATAATTAAAAACTGATTAATTCAATGAATAGGAAGGAAAAATTACACGGTAGGAAAACATTGAAACGGTGTCTAATATTAGAGAGAGGGACTATATTGGATAGAGAAAGAAAGAAAAAAATAATTTAGAAAAGAATGACAAGGATAATGATTATACAACAAGAGAAAAGAGAAAGAACTGGATAGAAATGAGAATAACTCGATTATAGAACAAGCGAAAACAGTGCAATTTTAGGTTGAGTAGTCCTATTAGATTAACGTATCCAACACATCCAAGTTGGTTTTACAGAAAAAGAGATCAATTTGTTATTTTTTAAAAAAGATCACGTTCGAAAAGAATATTTTTCTAGGCAAAAAGGCGTAGAACAATGAAAAATTCAAGTTATTAATTCCTAAAATAAAACCGCAATTTATTTATTTATTTTTTTTATTGAAAAATTGGATATACTTTTTTCTTTCAACACAAAAAAGATATATATATATATATACATATAATGAGGATCAAAAAAATAAAAATAAAAAAAATAGANTATTTGTAAAATTGCTTATATGTTTACTCTAATAAATGGAATATTTTCAGATTTTATAGGTTAAATTTTAAAAAATATATAAACGTTTTTCTTATTCTACACGTGTAATAATTTATTTCTTTTTTAATGAATTTATTTCTATCAAATTTTTATATAATATAATATCAAAGTTTTAATGGCTTCTACTAAAATTATCTTGAAATAAAAAATAAACATTTTCATTAATTTTATGATCCATTATAAGCTTATATATCTTTTGTTTACGCGTATGTTTAAGTCATAATATAAAACATAAGCAAGATATATTGCACTGTTAACAATAAAATACTGTTTTATTTAAATAAAACAGTATTTAAATATTTAGAACAAAGAATGATTTGAACCATTTTTTTTCGCTCTAAATATCCTAAGAAAAATACATTTTTAAATATGTTTAACTATAAATAAAAGCCTGTAAAAAGCTACAGAAATTTGTTTATAGTCTTTTTATTTGGTTGTTATCCTTAAATTCGCATTAATTTTTAAATTAATCTTATTGAATTGAAGTAAATAAATACTATGCTTACAGTGTTAATGTAGTTATTTTATATTTTTATAATAATAAAGCATTAATTTTTAACTACTTATATAATGATGCGTATTTTATAGAAAAAATTAGAATAAAAAAATAATGATTAGAAATACTTGAAAGGTAGATTTTTCTGAAAAGAAGGATGCTAATTGTTATAGACAGATACTTTTTCAACTTATATTTAAATAAATGTATCGCATAACAAGGCAGAGAAGGGAAAAAAAACAGCAAGAGGCAATTTAAATAAATATACGAAAACAACACTAGATTTTGTCATTACTTATTTATTTTTTGTTATAAAATTATATAATGATCTTAAATGATTTATAGCTGTAAAAATAATCACATTAATTAGACTCTAATAGTATACAAATGTCAAGTTTTTAACGTAAATTAACTGGTGTAATGAAGATCATTACTCATATTTTTATATTTTAATAATTGTATAAATATTTTTCATATTTTTAAATCATTATTCCAAACGGAGAAATGATAAATTAGACAAATACATGTTTTAAAATATAAGAATTAAATTTAAAAAAAATAATTTGGGTTATAAGGTTAAAAGTTATTATTATTTTAAAATATTTAACTTATAAATGGATAAGTATGATACATATTAATATGTTAACCATGCCATTGGGAATATTAATAACTTATAAAATGGATGATTTAATACAAAGTATTAATTTTAATTTTAATTAAACTTTAATATTGTGAAAGTATTACGACAAGGAAAGTTTTATTAGAAGAGATTAAAGTATTAAAGTCTAAAAATACGATTTTGAATTGACAAGGGAGTAGATAATTTATTTAAATAAAATTTCGAAGATTTTCTCCAACTGAGATTTAAGAAAAGAATAATATTACCTGACAGTTGCGATGTAGTTAAGATTTAAATCTCAAAAATTGAGAAAACAATCTTTCTTTGTTGTTTAGAGAACATTTCAATTGCTTGATTCTTTAAATTCGCATATGTTT